ACTAAAAACCTTTTTTGTTTACAAAAATATCTTGACCAAACTCGGCATCAACTATTTTCCCTGTGCTTCTTATATACCGGCAAGGCACTATGAGCATAATGAAAGGGTTGGGTCCACAAGGGTATTATATCTTCAGCGTGATTTTCTCATCTTGGGTTCTTTTTAATTTTCCACACTATATCGCTCCGTTCACGGTCATTTAAAACCCGAGGGTGCCCTTGCCGTGTAGCGTGTTAAGGGCTTTGTGATCCTTTAAAGCGTTGTACAATGCTGCGAATCGTAAAACGACTTCTTATCATAATTTCCCCGATATCAGCATACCATTTACTTTGCTAATGGAAATATAAAATTATTTTGCGTTTAAATTCAGTGGTTCCTTTTTATTTTGGACTCATATTTGAATTATTTTTATTGTTTAGGACAAAATGCAAGTCTAAATTCGACATATATCTATGATTTCATATAATAGAAAAACGTACAGGCCTTAGTTGTTTCACATATTTCCAAAATTTAAAAATGTGAAAGCAGATATAGGCTATTAGATTATTTCAGATCGCCACATTGGCGGACGCCCAGGCAGACAGACATGACTAGTTCAACTCAGCTATTGAGGCTGAGATGCTTCCTTCTGCATGTGAGAGAATGTTTCGAGCTACAATTTAACATTTAGTATTAAGTACCTTGCTATGTTATTTGAATAAATATCGATACCACTAATCGTACAATGCATTGTAAGGTTAGTGATTGAACTGTAATCAGCATTTTTAGGCTTTCACATAAAGCTGTAATCTGTCCTGTTGGGTAAAAAAGTTGAAGCGGAGCTGATATACATTTACACTTAAAATAACGATTTTTCGAATAATTATTTTTACGGTCTTCGAGGAGTCTTACTCGAACATAGGGCTACAGAACAGGAACCTAAGGATGAGGTGGAATTCCGGAAGAAGCGCAGCACTAAAACTAATTTGTGTTAAGCTTGATATGTGTTATGATCGCAAGTACGGCAACAATTAAAGCTACATTGTATTGTCAGTCTGCTTGCCTTGGTGCATTTAATATTTCTTGCAGTCATGTTAATTTCGTCGATTTATGTAAATATAAATTATGTTAATTAAGGAAATGCATACTGATTGTCAAGAGATTGGTAGATCGCCTCAAAAGCTGTATAGAAATTTGTCAAATGGATTCTTGCAAATGTACAGAATCACATTGAAAGTTACAGTTGTATTGTTTTCAAATTAGTTGAAATAAATTAATCGGTGCAGCACATAAAAATATGAATAAAATTGAACATTTTTTGCGGTCTGCTTGCCTCGATGGTATGCAGAATAAACTGAAATAGGAAGACTCCAAAAACTAAACCTTAACCAAATGGTAGCTGCAGATCACCGTAGGCTCCTCGAGCAGGTGACCCATGTCCGCAGTGGATATTTCGTAATGAGCTTTCGCTGACGGCTGGGCTCGACAGTGGACGCTGCACGTGTGTCAGGTAGAGAGCTGCATGGCTTCACTCACAACATACGTTGAATTGAATGGACTCGAATTGAATTAAAATGAGTGAGTACGAGGCTTACGATGAAACGAATGAGTACCTATGTGAGTGCGTGTTGTGTTTCATACTAGACGGCAACAGACGCAAGCAGTAAAATAAAAGGACGAAGAAAAAAATCGGTGACGGTATGGGGCATAAGAAATAAATGTTTTTTTTTTGTTATTTTCCGTTCTTCTTTTTATACCCTGATCCCATTGATAATGGGTATAAGGGTATATTGTATTTGTGCAAAATGCAAATGTATGTAACAGGCATATATTCCTGATCAGCATCAATAGCCAAGTCGATCTAGCCATGTCCGTCTGTCCGTCCGTCCGTCCGTCCGTATGTTTGAAAGCAAGGATCTCAGAACCTAAAAGAGCTAAAGACTTGAAATTTTAGATGTAGGTGCTAGTGCCTGCGCAGATCGAGTTTGTTTCTGATAATCGATAACTCACTCCGTTTCCAAGCAATCGATAAAAGTCGATCTCAAAATCCCGTTTTTTGGGAAATTTTTGTAAATAATATGAGCTAGTTGGAAGAAGAGGGTTCAGGATATCCCCTCCCGACTAGAACCTCTTACTTGTTGGTATTGTTCATTTGAACGTGTTTATTTCGCCATTCATGCACCTCTCTAATATGTATGCATTTTTGAGTCAAGCTTTGAAGAAAGTGCAGATGAATTCGTGCGCCTATTTTGGGAAATAAAATCTTGCGTAGAAACTAGAGCTACCACCTCAAGGGAAGAAAATGATTCGTTTGGATATATACCAGATTGCCTAGTAGCTAAGATTTAGTGTGTTAACCCTCAAGCCAAGTTTCAAATTTTCAATTCCTGACCTTGGAACGGAATCCTCAAAATCGTCCTCTAAAAGTCGGTATTCAAATTTTTAATGGAATACTTGGATCTGGGTCATATGTCGCTAGTCGTTTCAGCCCATGTATATGGGTCGAAAAATTTAAGCTTGCCTATTCAAGGCATATATCATCTTTTAATATAAATGTTCCACCAGAAATATGTACTACAATTATCTGATGTAGAAAGTTTTAGCCGGATATTTAAAGGTTAAAGAATATAAAGCCGAAAAAAATCGATCTCAAATATTATTACCCCCTCTATCTAGTGCTTGCCTATTAACTCAGTAGAGGTCTTAAATATAAACTACCTACCCTGTTTGACGATTCTCTTGCCCTCAATTTTAATATTATCACTTTTACTGAGACATGGCTAAAACAGAAAATTTGTCAATACTTCCTTGCAAATACACCTCTAACAAATTTTATTTTCCGTAACGGAAGAAACGTATGCATAACTGTTGTGCCTTTTTCTTCACAACTAATTGAGCTTTTGATTTCGGTGATCGAGCAAGTGGGTGTAAAAGTGGCATGTGGTAGTTTGTGTGACTATATATTATGTTTTGCTATTCCACCACTATCTAAAATGACCATTTACCAAAGCCATATTAACGCTATTAAATCTTTCTCCTCCCCTTCGTCGTTCTTGACGACTTAAATCTCTTAAAGAGGTTGCCAAGTCATTGCCAATAGATTCAACCTTCCCTAGCTGATGTTCATCAACTTAATAATTTTATTCTGTAAGTGGATCGATCTCAATTGTGCAATTGTGCAGACACTGATGTTGCCCTTTAACTTTATCCTGCACTCGCCCTTTGATATATGTGTCTTTCTTGATTACCCAACGATGTCTGATAGCGCTCCCTGGTTCTCAGGGGAGCTCCGCAAGTGTGGAGAAATTTATTTATTTTTAATGCAGCTCCCACGAATGCTTTTGGAGCGATATGGCCACGGCGCTTATCTCAACATCTTTCAGAGTGGACTGGAGACACTGTGACACTGAGACATTGACACACCATTAGCAGTCTCTTCACGGTAGATAACTTGGTTCTGAGCATGCCAGAGACCCAACAGAAGTAAACTCAGGAAAGTTGAGCGCAACGAACGGAGGATAATTAGGTAGCAGAAACCTCAGCCTCAGAAGCAATGCTTTACAGCCGTTCCGCAGGAATAAAGGATATACTATTGTTAATATACAAAACACAATAAAAAAACAAGTAATAAGTTCTAGTCGGGAGCTCCCGACTAGGGGATACCCTGAACCCTCTTATTCCAACACCAAAGAAATTAATAAGAAAAAGTTCCCTTGGCAGGGTTCGAACTCGCAACTGACCGCATTACTTGCTGTCGACTCTACTCAACTGCTACACCAGCAAAAAAAAAAAAGTACTTTCCCCGGTAAGGCTCGAACTCGCGACAGACCGCACCACTTGCTATGCCTCTACTCAGCAGCCACACCAATAATTAAGTACTTATGTTAAAAAAAAGGAAGTAAAATACCATTACAAAACAAGTCCCAATGACCATGCTGTTAGAATGAAAAGCAGACGCGAATGTGTGTGTGTACATGTATACAGAAATTCTTCAAGCTGCTGCCCCATTCAATTGCGCAGTTGCATATAACTTTGGTTTTTTCTTAACCGATCTTTATGAAATTTTCTACAGTATATCTTATTGTACCATAGAATATTTGTGTATTCTGAAAAGTCAAGTGCATTTAAATTGTGGCTTAAATTGGATGGCAATAAAAGTTGGGTTATTAACTTAATTTATAGCTCTAGGGTGATAGCGGGGAGGTGGCGGTAGATATAAAATGAAAGATACTTGACATATATATTATATTCGAAAAACAACATATTATGTTTGGTGACCTTACCTCTTATTATTTACCAATATTGCCCAAAAAACAAGATATCGATATCGATTGCTTGGAAACGGAGTAAGTTATCGATTATCGGAAACAAACTCGATCTGCACGGGCACTAGGAGCACCTACATCTAAAATTTCAAGTCTCTAGCTCTTAAAGGTTCTGAGATCCTTGCGTTCATACATACGGACGGACGGACAGATGGACAGACGGACATGGCTAGATTGATTCAGTTATTGATGCTGATCAAGAATATATATACTTATGGGGTCGGAGATGCTTCCTTCTACATTTGGATTTTGCACAAATACAATATACCCTTATACCTTACCTTATACATTTTTAATGGGTTCAGGGTATAAGAAAAATAAGTGGTTATAGCCGGGAATATTCCGACTAAGGGATGCCATGCAGCTTTATTTGCCAACACCAAATGCAGCTCTCGCAACGAGTGCGTTTGTTTTAGCACAAATAGAAATAAATTAAAAACAAAATAGTTCCTTCAATAAGACTCGAACCCGGTACAGAACACCTCTACCTAAGAGCCATACCACTAATTAACTCTAGGAGGACCTACATTCGAAATTTCAAGTCTCTAGCTCTTATAGAAAGAAAAAACACACGAGAAAATATAATTATCTCTTCGCATGGATGCTGAAATGTGAAGACTGTCATGACCGTAATCCTTTAGGTACTTCGCCGAAAAAAAAATGTTTAAATATAAATAAAAATTTTGTATTACTTACATGACTTGTTTTATAGCAAAAAAACATAAATGGCAGAAAAAACAATAAATTGTATGCGTTCGACTTAAAGATGTTCATTTTACTGAAATAAATTAAAAAAATTTTAATTTTAGTAATGTCTGAAGCATACAATCTAGTTAGATACGCATGCTCTCTCGAAGTAAGGGTTCCATTTAAGGTACTCTTTTCAACATTTCGCCATGTTTTAAATCTAAAAAAATCTGTAGGATTATTATGATTTAAAATTTCTTATTTAAAGTTGCCGCTTGCCTTCGTTGATATACCAGCTGTTTATGGTTATGATACTTTACCATTTTGCACAAGATCGATAGAAAACTCTATTAATCATCGCAAAAAACACGAAATGATCGCGGCAAATTTACACATTTTTCTCAAAATTGCAATTTTTGAAAAATATATGATATGAGTTTTCTTATGGGGAAAAAGAAATGTGTAAGAAATGTGGTCGGTGGACAAAAGATATTAGTTCATAAATTTAAAGGATATATATATATATATAATGAACAAGTGAGCGGCTCTTTGGTGGAGTTGCCGACAAGGGGATACCCTGAACACTCTTCTACCAACAAAAAATGACCCTAAGACCCTTAGCAGTAATAAAAGTATATTGAAAAAAGCTCCCTCGGTAGTGTTTCAACGCGCAACAGACAACACTACTTGCCCCTACTCTATGAAAACAAGTAAGAAGTTCTAGTCGGCCTTCGTTTTTGTTTGGGTTCGAGACACGTTCGAACGCTTAGACAGCAAGAGAGTAAGAAATACATTTTACCTGTGCGTTAAAACGGGATCGCTGCTCTTTTTTATTCCCTCGCACTACAGAAACTGTTTTGGGTAACTCTCAGTGCTCTTTCTATATGTGTATTTACCGTTGTACTGTCAGTGTGCGTCTGTCCGAACAAGCAAAAATGCCCACAAATTCAATTTTTCTGAAAATTGGTTCTGTTGCTGGTGGATCGCTACATTTAGCCAAATACAATATAAACACTAAGGTGAAAACCGCCCAAACATTTGCTTGCGACGCAAAATTTCTACCCTGGCTTCCTGAACTGGGTTTTACAATTTCGCACGACTTGCTAGCTGATTGTCTGTTCGAATGGCAAAGTCGCGGCTTGTTGATTCTGACACGAGCAACGAAGCTAGTCGCCAGCCTGCGTTCAGCAAAGCTGGTCGATGGTGTTTTGCGTCGCTTCGTTTCCGATTTACATTGAGCGATAAAGTTTTGATCCTACGATCGACACAAAGTGCTTTTGCTTAATCCATGAAATGAATGCCTTATTTAAATGATATATTACCCTAGATACCAACAATAAATTTTACAGGAAAATTGAAGAATTTAATAATTTTTATACAAGGCGCTTCTTGCGCAATAACTATGTTAAGAAAATAGCACACATTTATTGATTTCAGTTTTGTTTTTGGACAGTGTATGCTCGAGAAAAGTTCTTGTCTCAGCCAATGGCGTGCAAGCACCTTTGGTTGTATGCGTGAATTATGCATGAATAAGTACATCAAAATACGTATGTATGTAAGTATGTGTTGTTATTCACTGCTCTGGCTTTAGCTGACAATAAATTAATTTTGTTAGTTTTCTAGCGCTGTTCATGACCTACCCCAAATTTGTGTTGCATATGAAAAACTCTTAGAAAATAGCTACTTTTAAATATATGCACTTATTTATAGTTTTTCTTTAATTTAATTATTAATTAAATTGTTATTATTTTAATGTAATACAAATTATATTAAGAAATATAAGTGAAAATTTGTGGTTTTTAAAGATAATTCTTCTTAATTGTTTTATTTTTAATTACATTTTTTTATTGTAATTAAAAAGTCCAAATGTACTTTAATGTAAAATTAACATTAATTTAATTAAATGAAATTGAATATATAAATATTTGCATCTACTTAAAAATAGATATTTTCTACGGATTGTCAACACAAATTCGGGATAGATCAGCGCTAAAAAGCCAGAACAGCGAATAAAAAATACATTCAAATATGCTGTTATGTATGTATATTCAGGCCTGAAGTTGAGAGTACATTTTTTTCCAGCTTTTTCGCTCTCTCGACTGTGAGAGCGCAATGATACAGATTTCGTTTTCGTTCATAATTTTCAAAAAATCAAGCTGCATATTGACATTTTATTGTATGGCGTTGCTCATCTTAGTATTTAGATTGTCTTTGATTTAGCCATACCAGCCATACCAACCATATTGAACAGTTTCTGTTAGCTAAATTGAATGCATGTGATTCCATACATATATATATCTATGAATATTTACAGGTAATGCTTTAAATACCCTGAGCCCATTCAAAATAGGTAACACGGTATAACGATTTTGTACCTATATATGTAAAAGGCAAAACAAAACAAATCCGACCTCATAAAGCTTATATATTCGTTGGCAGTATCAATATTCGAGAGATCTAGTCAAGATCTTCTGTATGTCTGTCCGCTTGTCCGAATGAGAGCCAGAAGTATTCACCAATAATAACAAATATTACACACCACAAGAAAATTTATTCAATATCGGTTAAGAAACATATAAATTAAAAATAACCCCTTTTATAATATAGTATCGGACACTCCTCGGACTAGCCCGTGCCAAATTTTATGCTTTATATTTAGTTCTTTATCCAGGGCCTAAAAAATTTAAATCTGCCTGTACTATTTTGAAAATATATTTGAAGCTAATTAAACCATTATATGAAAAAACTTTTTCTGCGCCCACTAGTTTTGCAGTGAGAATCTTAAAGCCGAAAAATATACGCATCAACCAAATTATCACAAATATCGCTTAAAATAAATAAACATTTTCCGCCAATATCAAGAGTGATTGGTGTGACACTCGTGTCAAATGAATATTCGTGAAGATTTTTGAAATTATTTTTAAGCCGATCGGATGATAAACAAAATCTTTTGTAGAACTGTTTTGCGCTATTTACTACAGCTTGGGATGAAATTTCGAAAATCGATGAAGCATGCCAAGCTCCTATGTGGGGCTTTGAAAATAGGCTTGAAGCAAATCAGATGAAACTTACAACTTGATTCTGCAAAAATATATGAAACACGTTTTGAATGAGCTCGAAACATTACCCACCAAATCTTTGACCGCCAAAGTGTGAAACACCTATTCCAATGAAATCGAAGGAGTCTCTTTGAAAATGATTTTGAGGCTGAGCTAAATACAAACGCTTTTCGCCATTAAGATGAAATATTTCAAACCCACGTGCATCTTGGCGTGCATCTCTAGCACATAAATGATTGCCGTTTGGGCTGTGTGTTGACTACCAATCACTTTATCAGGACAAATAGTTTTATATATGTATATTTAGCGGGTGTTGCCCGGCTTTGCCCGTGGAACGTTTCGTGCTAAAAATTTTAGAAATTTTGAAATCTACCCGTTTAACCGTAAGCTCCACTTCTATTTAAAAATATGTTAAAACTACATCGAATAAGAGGTTTCTGTCCTTGTAAGTCTAAATCAAAAAATCATTGAATCGCCCTTATTACCTAGGAGCTATTGTTTTGCGAAAAATGTGGCGCACACCTCAAATAATTTTTCATATAGATCCTTAAAAATGAATTTGAGCTCGAAACGTCACCCACCAAATCTTTGACCCAAATTTCGAAAAAGGTGTACATTTTTTAAAAAGTGTAAAACACACCCCAAAGGAATTTGAACAAAGATATTTTAAATTGATTTAAAGGACGATCGGATACAATCATTATTCGCGATTTATCCATACTTGCATGTGGAATTTCCCGAAACTCCGTTTTGATGTTCACCATCTTCATATAAGTTTACTACAGTGAAAATTTAAGATTTCTAGCTCTGACGGCTTGGGCTGTGCGTTGATCACCAGTCAGCCAATAAGTCAGCCAGGACAAACATTTTTATTTATAGAGCTATAATAAGATATATAAAAAAGTTATGACAAGCATAGTAACCTGCCGTAACTAACAAGAAAATGTTCTGTTGCATATTGTAATAGATGTTTACTTTCAATGCAATCAAAATTATATTAATATAAAAAAAAAATACCCGTTTTATAAGATTATATTTACAGGGTATAATGCACACATTTGATAACAGAGATAAAGAAATATATCTAAATTGAGATAAAAAATAATAAGATAGCTCGGACTGTGCTTTGGTTTTTAGATGTGAAAGATACAAAATCAGTGTTTTGTGCATTGATGCTTCTTGGCCTTAAAAAAATGGCCAGACGATCCATAATTTTTATTATTATATGGGTACATTTTTCCTGCACTTTACCAAAAAAGGTCAGCAATCATCCATTGTAATTACACTCAAATTTTAAATTCGTCATATGTAGGTTACAAAATGTGATGATAATACAACAGAGACAGCTAGTGGCACAGCATATTGGAAATTTCGGGGCGTTCGTTACACAACTTCTGAAGACATTCTATGTTGGAAGGACCATTGGGAACTCTTTTTACGCGAGTGTAACACAACTACCGGCCAGTGGCTGCCAGAAAAGGTTGTATGCAAACCAGAAGAGAGGATTAATAAATATTGCCCGGAGGACTTAGTCGAAATTTATGATGACAAAGGTGATCCGCTATGTTTTAAAATTTCATCAAAACCACAGAAGTATGATGACAATTTTTGCCATGGCTCTAATAAAATTTTACCATTAGATATTTCTAAACATCAGATTGTAAGTTTCACACAGTTCTTGTATGAAAAAAACGTTAGTGAATATTGGTTACCAATACAACGTGAAAATAGTTATATGCCATATAAAATACGTTTGCCAGGTGACCGTTGGGGACAAATTGTCAACGACAATATTAACCTAACAGATTTAAGATCTGATAAAAAATGTATGTCAGTACGATATTACCATCGCCTACAACAAAAAAATGATAAGAAAGAGAGTTCTGATTTTATCATAAATATTACTGATTGTGAAGACTTGTTGCACTCGATTTGTATATATCAAGATAACCTAATAGCCAGATCAGGCTGTCCCGAAGGAGAAGGCGCGCTTACTTATCGTCCACATGAATGCTATGGTGTCAACTG